GACAACAGTTTATTTTAGTTTTTTTTCCTATTAAAGCATCGATACTTTGGACCTACATTTCTATAACTGGGTAGTCTTTTTCGAAAGTATAATCTTTGTTTGTGTGTGGCTAAAGCAGAAACTATGTTTGTACCCCAATCAATGGTAAAGTGCTAGAAATAGCAGTATAGTTTATGTTTTTGCCACAAACAGCTGAACACATTATTCTTTACCCAAATATAGCATCCAACTTTCATTTTTAATTTAATTTAATTAGAGCAATTGGTATTATGCAACTTTATTTTGTTGTATTGACAATTCTATCCTTTTTATTGTCTTTTATCGATTGTGATTATATTCAATTTGTATTTGGTTGGCATGTGAGTCAGGAAGCTATGCAAAATGTGGAAATGCACAGTTTCCTACTGAGGTCAACAAATGGATTTTCTAAGAAAAAAGTCATTTGAAGGTAAAATATCAAATACTTTTTGATACTTTTATATTTCTCTTTTTTTAATGTTTCATTTTATATTTTTCTTTTTCTTGAATATGAACATGCTATGAATGTTAGACACCACAAAGTTGGTGAGACTCATGAACCTGCTATCTATAGGATCAATGGTCACCTACTAATCTTTTTATATGACTAAAATACCCTTACTAAAAAACTTATAACAAAGACAACTACATTCTATGGGATCTGGAATTCAGATCCATTCCATTTAGTTGAAAATAAGTGTGGAATTGATTTCCGCTGGAATTAGAAAATTCCACCACGAAAGGAATTCAACTTCCCTTCCACAAAGTCATGGAATTCAATTCCAATCCTGGGTCATTTGTACGAATGACTGAAATACCCTTTTTAATTTCCATCATATTGTTATTTTAATTTATTTTTTTTAATATTTTATAAAATAGAAAATTCAGATAAGTTGATAATTATACAGAAATTTATCTAAAGTGCAACATATGCTGATATGATAAAAAAAAATACTGCATAATGCAAACAACTTGTCGGTCCAGAGCGACATATGCTAAGATTGGCGCTATTTTGAAAAACAAGAGATATGGCGAAGCAATCAGGTTCGATTGAAGAAGAAACGACAAATTGTTACTCGGATAACACAATAAGCACACCCCTGTTCTATTCAAGTTTTCATTTCGATTTTGTTCTGAGTGATTTTTAGTTAGACCATAACTAGGGCCACAAATCTACAAGCAACAGTTAATTTCAGTTTATAATATTGGTTATATTTTAGGGTTTTTTTAGTTTATCTGTTGAAATAAAAAAAATCACTATTATTGGTGAAATTTATTAATGATATACACTTCACATAACCCATTTTATCATTCAGATAATGACAATTTTAAAGATTTATCGCACCCTTATCTTTCTACCTTTATGAACATGACAAAAATCATAAATTTATAATGACTCCATGGGTGCTCCTTAAATTTGATTATCTGTTACCAAATTCACTTAGCTTCACCTAATGGAAGGTTTTATGTAGCTCCTTGGAAGGTCTCAGATGCTAGAGTTGTGCTTGAAGATGGATCCACTTCGAAGGCCAAATCATTTGCTGATTCTGAGAGTAAAGATGGTGACGTTGTATTTAATACTTCATTAAAAGAATAAGATATGGATGTATGATCATGTAAATAGATAGAAATCATGGATTTTTTTTTTGACATTTACCTGTTGAATAATAGTATGTACCTATATACTGTAGGTATGACAAACCCACACATTGAAGAGGAACTAATCAATGCTTCTTGGCTGGTTTTGTGATTAGAAGTTTGATTATCAGGTATGTTATACGAGATGCATCATTCTTGTAACAAGACTTTAGATTGGAGATGCACGGAATCACTTTCTGACTATTTGTCAGAAAGGAACATCATGGAATATGTATGTTTTTGGTATGATCCCTTCTTTTGATGAAATGGAACAAATTGTTGTATGTATTAATGAAACATGACTTGGATGTGAGTCTACAGAAGTAATATTTTATGAGTTTTCGTTTATACTTTTTTTTGTGGAAATTACCTGATGTCTTATACTTTGTTTTTCATTTTGTCTAATTTTTTATTTTGTAATAGGTTAGGTTAGATGCTACATTTTTTTTTGCTGATAAGGGTAATTTTGGAATTATCAACAACATTTGTAATAGGTTAGGACTACTCTGCCTCAAGCTGGATTATTTGTCATTCCTTCTATTGTAGGTAGATTTGCTATATTTAATAATATTATTTCCAAAAAAACAAATTATGAATATATTTGTTTTAGATTGTGGCAGCAAAGCAATGCATCAGCCTGGAGCTTATAAGCATTTGATGCATAAAGGATGTTGAGAACTTCAAATGCCTTCAAAGTTTCAACTATGCAAATTTTGTGTATTTTCCTAATAAATAAAATGATGAAACATTGGATCTTTTAATCAATCCGAGGTATGTTTCTTTCTTGATTGTTACTGAATTTGTTCAGATAGCTAACTCTGTGTTTTTCTGTTGCAGTTATCATATAAAAGTCAAGGAGCATTGTTTCAATGTTGAAGAAGCCGAACTGTTAGAATTTTGGAGTAAACCAACTGGGATGCAAAGCTTGTGGAGTGTCGACAACGACCAGGCATGGAACTGATTGAATATATACAGATTTCAAAAAGATTCCTATTACGTCTTTTATATGCTCTGTTCTTTACAAGGCTAAGAATGAATGCTTCATATCCTTTAAAGGATGGATGGATGGAGGAGCATCATCGGACCCTGGAGATGGAGGTGGGTGGAGGTGGAAGGTGGAATACAGGAGGGCAATCTACCGAAAGGTCATTTTCATTCTCAATAATATACTTTCCGTTTTATCGTTTGAATGCAATGTTGGTTATTTTGGTTTATGATATATGATTTCCATTGCCAGAATTTGTCAAAATGTGTTGCATTTTTATTCTATTTCAGTTAAAGAGGGAAGGAATGAGTAGGCTATGATTTTTAATTGAAATTACATAAATAATCTAACAATTTTCTTACTTTGCTTACAGATTCATTGATGGTTTTTTATTTCTTATTTATTTATTTATTTATTTATTTATTTATAGATCAGTTAAAGAGGGAAGGAATGAGCAACTCAAACTATAAACAAATAGTTGATCGAATAACATTTACAAAGAACAAACAACGGAAAAAATTGTCGCATCCGACCCCCGCAACGCGGGGGTTCCCCATCTAGTTATTATTATTATTATTATTATTATTATTATTATTATTATTATTGTCTTTGTACATGTAAAACTTGTTCATGTATTTAATCTTTGTATATATCTAGTGAAAATCACAACTTAGGTGCTGCTTGTTTTTTTGAAACAAAAATTTATAAAGTCTGTGGACCATCTCTACAACCCTCTGCAGTAGAAGAGGTGGACCAAACGATTGCAGACTGTAATAAAAAGCGTGTTTGTTTTCTTAACATCTGCATGTAGCTGCAGATATTAAAAAAAAATAAACTGATTTTATAAACCAAAAATAGTTTTTTAACACTAAAAATTTAATAATGTATTATATTTCGGTAATAATTTATGATATTCCAGCAAAAAATAATTTTATTTCAACAAAAAATAATGATATTTCATCAAGAAATTATTATTATTCAATATAAAAAATGAATTTTTTTTAACAAGAATAAACAAAAAGAACGAAAAAAAAGATAAAATAAGAATTCAACAACATATAATAAAAATTTTCAGCAAGAAAAAAGAAGAAGAGGTTGAAAGAGGCAATACAAGTGTTGTGCCAAACAGAACACACGCAATGGTTTTTTACTCTGAAAACTTCTAAAAAGCAAACAACTACGAGATGAAAAGTGTTGCGCATGTACTGTGCTGCACAACAATAAGAGGTCTGAAGATGTTTTTTTTTTTTCAAAAAACAAACCGCACCTTACTTTCTTCGATACCAGTGAATTATAAATCATTTTTATTTAGTTCTTTTTTCATCATAACTTTTCCGCCCTACCCCCACCCCCTCTCTCTTTCATATCTAATCTAAAGCTCGTAAAAATCGACCCAACCCACCAACCCAATCCGAACCCAACCCAAAATTAACAGATTGGGTTGAGATTTTCAACCCATTTAAGTTAAATGGGTCAACCCGTCTAACCCATTTAGTTAAATAGGTTGGGTCGGGTAAAAATTATCAACTCGTTTTCAACCCACCAACCCAATTAACTTTAATTTATATTTAATTTAATAATTATTAAAATATAATCATGTATTAATCTAAGTATTAGTTTATAAATTAATGTTTGTATTATTATTTATGTTAAAAAAATAGAATCCTAATTCCTACCTTTTTTCTTGCCACTGACAACATTAGTCACTCTAAAAAATCATTTAGAAATTACATATATTTAATGTTATTTGAACAATTTCTCCGTATATGTAAATTGAGATTTTGCTTTTGTCGTACTTTGAAATTTTATTTAAGTCTATAATTAATTTTAGTGGTGTAATATTTATTAATTTATTTATTTAGTTTTGTTTTAAATGGGTCAATCCAAGTTTAACCAATTTATTTAATAGGTTGGGTTGGGAACTACATAAACGGGTCAACCCGGTGACAACCTATTTATCTGAAAGGTTGGGTTGGGTTGGAAATATCAACTTATTTAAATAAAAATGTTGGGTTGGATTGAAATTTTCAAACCAATTAATAAATGGGTTAAACCCAAACTCAGTACAGTTGGACCCATTGCCACCTCTAATCTAATCATTTATTTTATGTTTTAATCAACCTCCTTTGACATCGTTGGAAAAGACCAAAATCCATCTCTTAAAGTTTTATGTAGATTAATTAGAGTGACTTGTGATGAATAAGATAAATTTGAATAGATATTAAAGTTAACTAAAAGCAAAAAGACAATTCGGACAAAGCTGTTTTATTAACTAAGTCGTAATGGTAACAAGCTACGTACTCTTCGAAGATAACACCATTACACCATGCATAACAAAACGAACAAAAGAAGACCAAAGCTAGGTTAAAAAGAAGACCAAAGCTAGGTTCATATATAGATTGGGTGACACAAGAGTCTCCATGTATTTCCCTCCTGGACTTGGACGAAAAGCGTAACTAATGGAGCACATGATATCTTTGGTATGCTTCTTCGTATCTAGTGCATCAACATACTCTCCCCCTCTAGAATACATGAGCCAATTTCCATTCCTCATCCAATGCAGTAGGTCATGTCCATTCCTCAGTAACCAGCGCAGTTCTTGGTTGTCGTCAGCATCATAACTAGACAAGTACTGCTGTGTCTTTGTCGTCAACCTCCCCCAATATTGTGCATGTGTAGAGCTCATCCTCCACAACTCGATCGTATCATATTCACCTATGGAATTTATAATAGCCACGCAGAAGTGAATATACCCTCTTAAAACCATGAAACCCATAAAATCTGTCCTTTGATCATTTATTTTTTCACCACCTCCTTCAAACTCATCAAAAAATTTACGGAGGAAGTGGAAGTTTTCGTTCAACATAACACTTGACATGATCAAATGATGATATGAAACAGCAGCGTTGGGTGTTGACTCCTCGACCTTTCTCCATGAATCGGATTTCAAAGAGAATATATAGACATTTATACCGAGGGTTAGCCATACAAGCTTGTAGTCGTCCTCAGAAGAGCTGTAAAACAGCTCATATTGATCTAAATAAGTCTTGTAAGGATGAGGACAACCAGGTTTAGACAACGTCTTATGGTCACCGGTGACAGGGTTCCATAAAATTATATCAGAGTATTCTGTTTCATTGGGCCAAGGCTTGTTAATGCCTACGCATACCATTCCATTCAAAGATGTTATAATAAATATTTTTTTACCAACTCCGACTTTAAACGGAAAAGGGCGTCTGGCAGTGAAACCATCTTTAGGTGTTTCACAGTCGATGGTGAGGTATTCCCATGGTCTTGCGCTAGGTAAGAAGAGAAACTTATGGATCTGGCCATTTTGATTGCTATTCAAATGGAGTTGGTGCATCTGGAGAAACCCAGGCGTCCTTAGGAAGGAGTGCCATTGCTTGGAAACACACCTGAAAGGTAATACAGATTTCGCCGGCACCCTTGGTAGTATGTTCGTGAATAGTATGTCCGGTGGCAGCTCCGTCGACATGGGCTCCACTTCCGCCATGCTTAATTATCGACAACCAGGATTAGGCTTGGCCAAGTTTATTATATATATATTATTTTGATTTAGATCTACAATTTGATTTGGCTCCAATGGTTTTACCTAAAATCAAGGTAGCAGTTGAAGACTATATCTTCTTTTTTTTCCTCAATAAATAGTTAAATACATAGAAATAATTCCTCGTCAGTTTATGTCAAGCTGTTATTATATACTCTACACTAGGTTTAAACCCTGGAACCAGGTTAATAAACAATAGGATGAAATAAACATTAAAAAAATAAAATATATATTTGAATTCAACAAAGAAATTCCAACAACTTTATCTATCATTTGTCATTACTTTTCTTTCATATCATCCAGACCAACGCTATAGCCTGCATACTAAAATTAAAATCAAACAAAACAAATCATAATTTTCATGGAATAAATTATAAAAAAATGAAGGTTTGTAATGAGATGATCTCACCAAGAACTTGTGGTTCTCTTCAAGAAGAGGTGTGAAAGTTGCACAAAAATTTTCAATATCAGAATTGATGTCACCTTTCCCTCCCACAACATCCATGAACTTCTTCCTATCTGGAGCAAGCTTGATTGCAACCTGTGAATCCATTTTGGAATAACAACAACAACAATAATAATAATGATGATGATGATGCTATAATTTTATTTTTTGTAAATTATAATAATGTAATAAAGTAAATAGATATCGTGAAAGTTGAACCGGCTAACCATCCATGGTATTTCTTGAGTGTCTTAGTGTAGGCTTCAGAATAAACTTGTGACACGCTTCCATCCTTGTGCTCCATTAAGTTACGGAATCATTCTACTATGAAGTCTATCGCTCTGAAGGGTGTTTTGAGGTTTCTAATTATTTTTGAAAATATATTACTATGAGGGTAGAATCGTAAACTCACCTAGTTAGTTAGCCACAAATGAACATTGGTGCAACTATTCTTAGCTTCAACCTCAACCCGAACCATACTGTATATAGTTTCTCAAATTTAGATGGGTTGGATATACTTGTTCTCTAACCTCTGCAGGAAGAGACAAATAATCAAATATACAAATAAGTTGAATATAATATATTAATATATAGATCAAAATTAAAAGAAAAGGAAAGGGTTAACACTTACTGTTATGTTACAACCAACATCAATTTTGACAAGTGTCATAGCTGCTCCGGAATTGTCTAGCATCAGATAAGAGAATTAGAATGAATGAAAAACATCATGACAAAGTAGTTCTTACTTATAAAGAAAAACCTTACTGATAACAAGTAATATATGTTTGCAGACTTCTAAGAAACGTTTGGAAAGCATTTCACCTTCTTCAGACTTGACATGTTTCATTGTCTAGCATCAGATAAGAGAATTAGAATGAATGAAAAACATCATGACAAAGTAGTTCTTACTTATAAAGAAAAACCTTACCGATAACAAGTAATATATGTTTGTAGACTTCTAAGAAAGGTTTAGAAAGCATTTCACCTTCTTCAGACTTGACATGTTTCATTGCTTCTAAATCAGGAGGGAATATTGTCCCTTCAATCTTCAAAACTAAAATGACTACAACAGTAAATGATATGGGTTAGATTAAATCAAGTTTTTAAAAAGCTCGTCACGACGCATCATGGCTTCAGTTTTGTATTTGCCGCCAAAATTTAAGAAATTGTCGTCTTAAGTCGTATATGTATATAAAAATAAATAATAATAATGTATATATATATATATATATATATATATATATATATATATATATATATATAAATTATATACAAAATTGCCGTCTTAAGTTATGACTTACAAACAATGTGGTTCGTTACGGCTCGAAAAAACTTGAGTTGACATTGCCTCCATGTCACGTCTAATATTATTTAGAATCTTGGATTAAATGCTTAAATTTGCTTCTTTTTACTATAGACGGTTGGAGATGAAAAGCAAAAAAAGTAACAACAACAAAGCACAATATATTTATAAAAGTGTTGAGTGTTGCCTCTTCCAGTTCTAATATGTTGAACAAATCATGTTTATGGCATTTCCGAGTTGGCCATATAAACCAGAAATGATTCTCCAATCTCCAAAAGGATAGGATCTTGGAATCATTTGATATAGAGTCGAATGATGTATGTGATTTTTCTTACTTGGCAAGATGACAAAAGCGCATTTCACAGGAAAATATGAACGAGGCAAAGAACTACTAGAACTAATCCACACTGATGTATGTGGGCCGTTCAGATTTGCGACTAGACATGGTAAGCGTTTTGTGACTTTTATTGATGATTATAGTAGATATGTCTATATGTACTTAATGAATCATAAGTAAGAAACTTTTGAAGTGTTCAAAGAGTTCCAAAAGAAAGTTGAGAACTAACTGGGTAAAAAGGATCATATGATCTTCTAAACTCATAAGTTCATGAACATGCATATCAACAATTTCAAGAATCATAAAATTAACCATATAAAACTTGAAATTTTGATAATAGCTATTGAAAATGGATTAGCATAACCATGACACCATCTAAAATAAGTTTTATAAGACCAAAACAATTTAGGGTAATGTTTCTAGTCCATTTCCAGCAGGAAAAGTCGAAAAACTGCATTATGGGGCTCCTACTCGTCGAGTGCATGAACCTACTCGATGAGTAGGATGAGTTTACTTATGGACTCATCGAGTCCCCCCATGGACTCGGCGAGTTCATGCTGCAGAGTGCAGAAAAATTGAGTTTTTTCACAATTTTGCATCAAGTAGCAAATAAAGAAGCCTAGGCTCTGATACCACTGTTGGGTTTTGAGCATTCTAACACTCCTATGGTGTACATGCAACCCTAGAAACTTTGGATCTATGTTTGACTAAGATACATGCAAAATTGGTTTTCCAAGGTTCATAACCTATCTAGCATACATGGGGAACTTTTAATTATAAAAGATAGAAAGAAACACATACCTTTAGTTGCTTGGATTCCTTTAGAACCTTGTGAGCCTAGCACCTCAAGTGTGATGCCTCAAATGTCTCACACAACACCAAATACACTTGGAATAACCTTGAGAGAAATAGAACACTTCTAAAATCGGCTATGCCCTTTTGTTCTCACACTAGTGTCGATTTTGGTCTACAACATGATGCTTATATAGTGTGTCATAATTAGGGTTACATCAAGTAAGCCCTAACTTGACATGACTCTTCATTTCCATGATCCATGGGTTCAAAAACACCATGGAACATCCATGGAGCATCCTATGGGTTTTAGCCCAACTTGATAATCCATGGAGCATTAGCCCACTATATAAGTATGGGTGATTTACAAAATCAACTCATATATTTAATTAGTCTTCTTTTGATCACTTAATTAATTCCAAAATAATTCTTGATTAATACTAATTAAATAATATTATTAATATATTAGAACTTATAATATATTAATAAACCTTAAGTGTTATTTCTCTCATTTTGGTCTATCTAAATGCATGATGCCATGCAACCCAAATGGACCATGTCGGGTCGGGTCAAGTACATACCAAATATAGTTATGGACTTAGACACTATATCCAACACCTCTTTGGCAGAATGCTATGGCTGAAGAACTCACTGCTCTCCATCAGACTCATGCATGGGATTTGATTTCTCTTCCTCCTAGGAAACATACGATAGGTTGTCGTTGGGTGTACAAGATATAAACAAAAGCTGATGGTTTTGTTGAGCGGTTCAAGGCTAGACTTGTAGCACAAGGGTATTCCCAACAGTATGGTTTTGATTACGAGGAGACATTTTCCCCGGTTGCAAATATGACGACATGTTCGTACTATGATTGCAGTTGCTTCTGTTCGACAGTGGAAGATCTTTCAAATGGATGTCAAGAATGCCTTTTTGAATGGTGACCTCCATGAAGAGGTTTATATGACTCCTCCCCCGGGAATTCAACACCGGTCGGGTGAGGTTTGTCAGCTTCGCAAAGCTTTGTATGGGCTCAAGCAAGCCCCTTGTGCTTGGTTTGAGAAATTCTCCACAGTGATTACCTCTCTTGGATTTGTCCAAAGTAATCACGATTCTGCTTTGTTTGTTAGATGCTCGAGTGCAGGACGGATTCTTCTGTCCTTATATATGGATGACATGATTATTACAGGTGATGACGATGGTGGTATTGAGTCTTTGAAGCATGATCTAGCTCATCGATTTGCTATGAAGGATTTGGGTTTGCTGCGTTATTTCTTGGGTATTGAGGTTCCTCAGTCTAAGAAAGGGTACCTTCTTTCCCAGACTAAATATAATATCTGACTTGTTTACACGGGCGAGCCTCTCTGACAATCGGACTTTTAATACTCCTCTTGAAACCAATGCACGATATTCTCCTACTGATGATGTTCCTTTGTTCGATCCGAATCTTTATCGCACTGTTGTGGGAAGTTTGGTTTATCTCATAGTTATTCTTTGTAGTTTTTATGCTTTTTTTAGAACCCTTGTAATTTCTCTTTATCATAATCATATGACAATGTTATCAGCAATATCAACACACAAACACATAGTTAGAGAGATAGTTCAACACATACACGAATTAGGAAAAAAAGATATCAAAAGACACTATGACTAACAACATATAGTTAACCAAATTTGGACAAATATATAATCATCATAGAAATCTTCAAGACATACAAGAAAGCTACTACATTAAATAACTTGGTCAACAATAACCTTATAGACAAAGTTCGAATCTGAAAACACAAATAAGAAACCATAAAAACCATCGACAAATAACCAAAGACCATTATTGTTATAAAAATTCTAAGAAGAACGGTTACAATTGCTCCCTCATTTATTCATATTATGGCCTCTTTTTACCTTTTATTCAGGCAATAAATCTATCATTCAAACAACAAAAGTCAATATAAGAAGGATGGAGACAATTGCACAATCCTGAAGTTGTTGCAAATAATAGCATACTTTACCTTTAATCCATAATAGAGTTTTTGTTGGTGCCGTGGTGATATGAGAAAATGAGGAGAAGTAGTCCCCTGCTGTAGCTCTGATCGAGTGGTCAAGTATAAGTTGTGGTGGTATTTTGGGAGAAATTGTATTGTAGAACGTGAAGGGTTATGGGAAGATGAGAGCATCCAGAAGAAAGGGAGGGGGGAGAACACGTATCACTTCCTGAAAGAAGTGCTGGATCACAGCTAAACTACATGCCGACCCAACAACTGAGCAACCCCTGAATTTAGAGGGTCTAAAATTGCCAATCTTTGAAAATAGTGTGGCCAATGTCTTAAGTCCCAAAAATATAATAATCTTGAATGCAAGAAAACCAAAAAAAGAATCACGTGTGTGTATATATATATATATATATATATATATATATATATATATATATATATATATATATAGATTAGAGTGAGTTGTGATGAATAAGATAAATTTGAATAGATATTAAAGTGAAGTAAAAGCAAAAATTGTTTATTAATTAAGTACATGGTATGGTAACATGAAGACACTCGATCATCTAAGACAATAAATACCATGCATAACAAAACGAACAAAAGAAGAGCAAGCAAAGGTTATAAAAAAAAGTACGTGTTACACGCGTCATTTCATATATTGATTGGGTGACACAAGAGTCTCCACGTATTTCGCTCCTGGAAATTGAGATGGACAGAAAGGTAAGCCAATGGAGCACATGATGTCCTTGGTATGGTTGTCCATACTAGCATCTAGTGTGTAAACATGCTCTTCAAATCTAGAATACATGAGCCATTTTCCATTCCTCATCCTATGGAGTAGGTTGTGTCCCTTCCTGATTACCAAGTGCAGTATTGGGTGGAGGTCAGTATATATCTTAATATCAGAACTAGACAAGGGCTCTGCTTCTGTCACCCTTTCCCACTTATATCCTGCATGTCCACTCCACAACTCAATCGTATCATACTCATCTATGGAAGCATTTATAATGGCCACGCACAAATGAATACACCCTCTTAAAACCATGAAACCCATAAAATCTGTCCTCCTTTGATTTAATAATTTTTCACCTGCTCCTTCAAACTCATGAAACAATTTACGGAGGAAATGGAACTTTTCGTTCCACATAACACTTGACATGATCAAATGAAATTGATATGAAGCAGCGTTGTGAGTTGACTCGACCTTTCTCCATGAGTCGGATCTCAAAGAGTATATATAGACACTCATAAGACGGCCGCTGGTTAGCCATACAAGCTTGTAGTCATTCTCAGAAGAGCTGTAATACAACGCATATTCATCTGTATAGACCCTGTAAGGATGAGGACAACCGGGTTTAGAATTAGACAGCGTCTTATGGTCATCGGTCAAAGGGTTCCATAAAATTAAATCAGAGTATTCTGTATCATTGGGCCAAGGCTTGTTAATGCCTACGCATACCATTCCATTCAAAGATGTTACAATCGATATTTTTTTACCAACTTCGACTTGGAATGGAAAAGGGCGGCTGGCAGTGAAACCATCTTTAGGTGTTTCACAGTCGATGGTGCGGTATTCCCATGGTCTTG